AATGGTGAGGTTTTTGGCATTTGTTTCTGAAGAAGACATGGATATTGCAATCGACCATTTATTTTGAGAATTGTCTAATGAGTTGCAATCTCTAATAGAATGGTTCGAGGACTCATACGTAGGATGTCCTCAACGACAGGGTCAAGGAAGGCGCAATCCACTCTTTTCGATCACATTGTGGTCTGTCTGCAACCTCGTTTTGGAAGGTACAGACAAAATGAACAATCACGCCGAAGCTGCACACAGACGACTTCAAAACGAAATGTCCATAGATCATCTAACAATATGGAAATTTATTGATGCACTTAAAAAGTTACAAACAGGAAGGGACTTGTTTTTATGAACAATTACTATTGGACCAGCAGACGCCAGCTAAATAAAAAAAACATCGCGATTGTGACGAGAGGATTTTAAAAATCGATTATAAAAAGAGAAATATAAACGAATATTTAAAAATGAAGTTGAAACTAGCAGCCAGAGTTAGCAGCCTGTGTGAGAAAATACGTACAATTTAGATTTCACAAAATAAAGCAATAATACTACTTAATTTGTCTTATTATAATAATATTAGTTATAATAACAATATTAATGATAATAACAAAGTGAGGATATCCGTATTTGGGAAAAAAATATTAGTAAAAATGATATGAATATAGGTACTTTAAAAAAAAACTTTAAATATATTTTCAAATTTTTCTTAACGGAAAATGATCGGCGCTGGATTAAATCATACATAAATAGATTCTTCAAGTAATAAGGTACAAGAACACATCAATCAAAAAAACAATATCGAGTGCTGGATTGTTGGAATTATTATATTTGTATGCTAAAGTAATACCTAACACAAAAAACATATTGTTTTTTTAATGAAAAATTAACGGCGCTGGGTTTTATCGTACATAGATGGAATCCTCAAACAATGTGCTATAAAAATCAGTTAATCAAAAGTACATTATCGAGTGCTAGAACGTTGAAAATATCAAAAAACTTTCAAGCTCCAAATACATTTCCAGTAAAAATGTGATTTCTCTTAACGAAAAACTATCGGCGCTGGGTTATATGATACATCAGTCAATTACTCAAGCAATAGGCTACGAGAATACGTCAATATAAAATACAATATCGAGTGCTAGAACTTTGAAAATAACAAAAATTAGTAAGGCTAGAGAAATATTTCTCCTAAAAATATGATTTTTCTTTAAGAAAAATTAACGGCGCTGGGTTTTATCGTACACAGATGGAATCCTCAACCAATATGCTGTAAGAATCAGTTAATCAAAAGTACATTATCGAGTGCTAGAACGTTGAAAATATCAAAAAACTTTTAGGCTCGAGAGACATTTCCAACAAAAGTGTGATTTTTCTTAACGAAAAATTATCGGCGCTGGGTTATATGATATATCAGTGGATTACTCAAGCAATAAGCTACGAGAATACGTTAATATAAAATACAATATCGAGTGCTAAAACTTTGAAAATAACAAAAATTAGTAAGGCTAGAAAAGTATTTCTCGTAAAAATATGATTTTTCTTTAAGAAAAATTAACGGCGCTGGGTTTTATCGTACATAGATGGAATCCTCAACCAATATGTTATAGGAATCAGTTAATCAAAAGTACATTATCGAGTGCTAGAACGTAAAAAATATAAAAAAACATTCAGGCTCGAGAGACATTTCCAATAAAAGTGTGAATTCTCCTAACGAAAAACTGTCGGCGCTGGGTTATATGATATATCAGTGAATTACTCAAGCAATAGGCTACGAGAATACGTCGATATAAAATACAATATCGAGTGCTAGAACTTTGAAAATAACAAAAATTAGTAAGGCTAGAGAAATATTTCTCGTAAAAATGTGATTTTTCTTTAAGAAAAATTAACGGCGCTGGGTTTTATCGTACATAGATGGAATCCTCAACCAATATGCTGTAAGAATCAGTTAATCAAAAGTACATTATCGAGTGCTAGAATGTTGAAAATATCAAAAAACTTTTAGGCTCGAGAGACATTTCCAACAAAAGTGTGATTTTTCTTAACAAAAAATTATCGGCGCTGGGTTATATGATAAATCAGTGGATTACTCAAGCAATAGGCTACGAGAATACGTTAATATAAAATACAATATCGAGTGCTAGAACTTTTAAAATAACAAAAATTAGTAAGGCTTAAAAAATATTTCTCGTAAAAATATGATTTTTCTTTAAAAAAAATTAACGGCGCTAGGTTTTATCGTACATAGATGGAATCCTCAACCAATATGTTATAGGAATCAGTTAATCAAAAGTACATTATCGAGTGCTAGAACGTAAAAAATATCAAAAAACATTCAGGCTCGAGAGACATTTCCAATAAAAGTGTGAATTCTCCTAACGAAAAACTGTCGGCGCTGGGTTATATGATATATCAGTGAATTACTCAAGCAATAGGCTACGAGAATACGTCAATATAAAATACAATATCGAGTGTTAGAACTTTGAAAATAACAAAAATTAGTAAGGCTAGAGAAATATTTCTCGTAAAAGTATGATTTTTCTTTAAGAAAAATTAACGGCGCTGGGTTATATGATATATCAGTGGATTACTCAAGCAATAGGCTACGAGAATACGTTAATATAAAATACAATATCGAGTGCTAGAACTTTGAAAATAACAAAAATTAGTAAGGCTAGAAAAATATTTCTCGTAAAAATATGATTTTTCTTTAAGAAAAATTAACGGCGCTGGGTTTTATCGTACATAGATGGAATCCTCAACCAATATTCTATAAGAATCAGTTAATCAAAAGTACATTATCGAGTGCTAGAACGTTGAAAATATCAAAAAACATTCAGGCTCGAGAGACATTTTCAATAAAAGTGTAAATTCTCCTAACGAAAAACTATCGACGCTGGGTTATATGATATATCAGTGGATTACTCAAGCAATAGCCTACGAGAATACGTTAATATAAAATACAATATCGAGTGCTAGAACTTTGAAAATAACAAAAATTAGTAAGGCTAGAGAAATATTTCTCGTAAAAATATGATTTTTCTTTAAGAAAAATTAACGGCGCTGGGTTTTATCGTACATAGATGGAATCCTCAACCAATATGCTATAAGAATCAGTTAATCAAAAGTACATTATCGAGTGCTAGAATGTTGAAAATATCAAAAAACATTCAGGCTCGAGAGACATTTTCAATAAAAGTGTAAATTCTCCTAACGAAAAATTATCGACGCTGGGTTGTATGATATATCAGTGGATTACCCAAGCAATAGGCTACGAGAATACGTCAATATAAAATACAATATCGAGTGCTAGAACTTTGAAAATAACAAAAATTAGTAAGGCTAGAAAAACATTTCTCGTAAAAATATGATTTTTCTTTAAGAAAAATTAACGGCGCTGGGTTTTATCGAACATAGATGGAATCCTCAACCAATATGCTATAAGAATCAGTTAATTAAAAGTACATTATCGAGTGCTAGGACGTTAAAAATATCAAAAAACTTTTCCGCTCGAAATACATTTCCAGTAAAAATGTGATTTCTCTTAAAGAAAAATCATATTTTTACGAGAAATATTTCTCTAGCCTTACTAATTTTTATTATTTTCAAAGTTCTAGCACTCGATATTGTATTTTATATTGACGTATTCTCGTAGCCTATTGCTTGAGTAATCCACTGATGTATCATATAACCCAGCGCCGATAGTTTTTCGTTAAGAGAAATCACATTTTTATTGGAAATGTATTTCGAGCCTAAAAGTTTTTTGATATTTTCAACGTTCTAGCACTCGATAATGTACTTTTGATTAACTAATTCTTATAGCATATTGGTTGAGGATTCCATCTATGTACGATAACACCCAGCGCCGTTAATTTTCCATTAAAAAAACAATATGTTTTTTGTGATAGGTATTACTTTAGCATACAAATATAATAATTCCAACAATCCAGCACTCGATATTGTTTTTTTGATTGATGTGTTCTTGTACCTTATTACTTGAAGAATCTATTTATGTATTATTTAATCCAGCGCCGATCATTTTTCGTTAAGAAAAATTTCAATATATATTTAAAGTTTTTTTTAAAGTACCTATATTCATATCATTTTTACTAATATTTTTTTCCCAAATACGGATATCCTCACTTTGTTATTATCATTATTATTGTTATTATTACTAATATTATTATAATAAGACAAATTAAGTAGTATTATTGCTTTATTTTGTGAAATCTAACCTGTACGTATTTTCTCACAAAGGCTGCTAACTCTGGCTGCTAGTTTCAGCTTCATATATTTAAAAGCAATATCACATAATTATATTATGCATTCCTAATAATAAAATTAAAAGAGACATTTCAAATATATTATTTTGTATGAATTATTACCTACCTAAAAAAAATACACGGCGTCGAAATGGCCCGGCGTCGAAACGGCCGGCGTCGAAATGTCCTCGCGTCGAAACGGCCGCGTCGAAACGGTTGCGTCGAAATGGCCGCGTCGAAACGTCCTAGACCGTCATTACCTATGTTAGTGATCCTTATGGAGGAAGAGCTTCTGACAAAACCATTTTTAAGCAGAGCGATATTAAACTCAAACTTGATAGACACAAAGACGCAATTATGGTAGCTAAAGGATTTCTTATAGATGATATTTGTAAAACCTTTAAAAAAAACTTAATTAGACCTCCATTGTTAAAAAACAAAGTCAGCTGACTGCAGAACAGGCTATTTTAAATTTAAAAATTGCAGCTGCTCGTGTTCACATTGAGAGGGCAAATTGAAGAATAAAGATTTTAAAAATTTTAAATTCAAAACTACAATGTTAATTCTATATTTGAATTATTATTTAGTTTTAAAGTTAATTTGATTTATTGATTTATCTTGTGTTCTCTATGTAATTAGTGTAATTACATGCGATTTTAATTTTATGATTTTAATTTCCTGTTTATTTAAGATTTTAGTGAATGTTAAATCTCTATTTGAATTCTTAGTTTAAGGTTAATTTGATTGATTTGTAATTATGATCTCTATGTAATGTGATTTTAAGTTTGGTTTTTCTGTATTTGGTAAAATTTGTAATACTTTTAAAATATACAGAAAATGAGGCTAGAATGTTTTTATGTAAATTTAAATGGAAGGGAAAAACTAATAAGATTAAAATTATAAAAAATATACACTTTATTAACTAAATATTTATAAATAATATTTATTTATATGTTAGCACACAAATTGTGAATTATTTTTTGAAAAAAATTATATTTGACAGTAAATAACATTTCTTTGGTAAATTCATAGTCAAAATCTACTTCAAATATTTGTAATGATTTGTCAAATGAGGCATATACTACAAAATAACATTTTGGCAAATTTAACATAGCCATACCCAACTGTATATGGCCATAATATTGATGTCTTTTTTTCAGTTTAAAAGAGTCATGACTTTCATTCAAAAATGCTGCCTTTGGAAGTATTTCGTTAATTGTAGCTGAACTATCTAAAAAAAATGTTTTGTTAATTTTTTCATAGATGGCTATACAGAATTACCATTGTATAAGCATTTAATTTCTAATAAAGCTACAGGTTTATCTTCCTTCATTATAATCCCATCACGGGAGTATCCGAGCCAAGGATTAGAATGTAAAATTAATAACCTACATCCTGTAACCATGAAGCCAGTTTTCTCCTTGAAAACATCTCTAGCCTCAGCTTCATATTTAATTCCATGTTTAATAAATTTATTCGTAAAATTTGGATAAAAATCGGATAAAAATACTTTATGGATTTGTTTTCCCAGTCGTTTCCAGAATAGGTATACAAACCATAAACTCGTGATCCAGTAACACGAAATTTTCTCTGATCAAACTATGCTTTTGACTGCTGTATTGATAAAACTATTGGTTCTTCATTGTTTTCAAAAAGTTTAATATACAATTGTTCACAACAGTTATATTTAAAACTAACTTTAAAAGAATACAATTCCATCATTAGTGGTGACTGAACAGCATTATTTAAAATGCTGGAAATATAATGTTCATGTCCTTTAAAATCATTTGTCAAAAGAGTGGTATGATCAGGAACTGGTCTTCGCCCAAAACTAAAAATTAATTTGCAAATTAGTTATTTTTTTGTATATTTATTAATGTAAAATAAAGGAATATTATTATTATAATTTATTAGTTTCAGCTGTCTTTATTTATTGAAGGGCAAGTACAATACACATATCAGAAAAGAAACACGTTTCTATAATTTACAAAACCTACTTATGCTTTGCAAGTGCAGAGGATGGTAGTTTTTGAATAAAAAAATTGTACATTGTCTCAGCACCAACCAACAATTTTCATTCCTTGTCATCCACATTTTTGATACAAGGCATCTGATTTATCGATACAGCATGGTACTTTTTTGAGTCAAACTTTTTTTGTTTTGACCATGTACAATTTATTTGAGTTTGTTGTTTCCAAATTAATCCTAAAACAAAATAAACCACAGCAAAAAATGCACAGAAAACATAAGCACTAACTACAATCTTATTAAGAATCGATTTGGTACGATAACGCCTTTTTTAAATTAGCAACATCATACACCTTGTACACTTAATTAGAAGAGTAGAAATATGCTTGCACTTTCCACTTTTTCCAGCCTTGCAAAAACAGTTCATGTTTTTCACTTTTAATTTTTTACTTATAATTTCCAACTGGCCCTTTATTTCGTGAGGATGAGATTTCAAGTCACTAGTTTGTAAACATAAACCACACAAAACTATATTCTTTTCTTGGCTCGTAGAGTAGAATTTACCACACATAATTAATTACATGTCCAGCATTTAACACTTCTTCACCTTCATAAACACATCTAGATGTGTTTGTACACCCAAGATATTATATGTAGTCGATTGTGCTTAATTTTATCTCACCAAATCAATCCTTAAAAACAACAAAATATACATTAGACTACGAAATAAAGTAAAAAATTTTGAAAATCAAAAATAACCTTAAAAAATATTTTTTTTTATTTATGGTAGATTGTGGTGAAAAGGCACACTTACCTATAAAATAAATAATAAAATAAATAGCAATCACTTTTCCAGATAAAATGTTCTCTTATTAATAAAAATAATAAAACAAAATTGTTAAAACCCAAAGCACATTTAAAAACAATACGTAAACAAAAAACCAATGTCAGTGAAGAGGGTTCCGATGTATGCCACGATGGCGCTACGATCTTAATTTCAGATGCCAATAGGCCAAATATTCATGGAATGTGTGACACTATTCAGAGTTCAAAGCCACTATTCTTGTGGAGCATACCAGATAGATACAATGATCTGCCCAACTTCGAAACACTTTAAATCCTAAACTTCCTGGTTAAAATATCCTTGTACTGCACTAAGACACCAACATTGCTGGCAATTATCAAAAATTCAAAAGAAATCCTGTATCATCTTTACGTTATCACTTCGTCAACAACGATTTGTTAAGACGCCATGTTTTGTCCAATTATTATCAAAATTTACCCTCGATATATCCGTATGAGGAGAACCAGTTAGACATAAGATAATTGCAAATTATGGCTCAGAATCTAATTTTCCTGCCGAGATAGAGATCGACGGCGGCGTTGCCGCTTCTCCGCTCGCTTTAGGTTCAATCGACGATTAACGTGTAAGCGATGCGTACCGATTCAGGTCATCCTTAATTTCGTTTTCCCTTTTATAAACCGCTTCTTATCTTACCTAGTACGCAGGCAAATAGCCCGAGAAATCGTCACTCAACCAATCTAATGATTTCATTCGCGCCAACGTTGCTTGCGATAAAAGTTTGGAGTTGAAACGATGCTAATTTGATCTTTTCCGTGAAAACGAGGCGATGTTCTAAAAAAAAAGTTATGTCTTAGCGTTTTCTTTTAATAAACGCTTCAGTTATATTTCTAAATTCTAAAAGGTTAATCAGGCATTCCAATATCCTGTTAAAGTATTAAAGGTAATTTTAAAAAACTGACTTTAAAATCGTGCAGATTCCATTGCCACATCTTGACCAAATTTATATGGGACCATCTTTGAGGTACCCCACTACTAACAAAAAAAAAGAATCAAAGAAATCGGAAAAGATGGTAAAGAATTATCGCTAAAAATAAATAAAAAATTAGGAGTTTGAGGATTTTCTCGTGAACCCAATTATTAGATTTTGGCTTATATGGGACCACCCCCGAAGTACTCCTTTTCTAACAAAAAAAAAATAATTATTAAATTCGGATACCGTGTTAAAGAATTTTCGCTGAGCATGCATAAAAAATATACTGACGAATTGAGAACATCCTCCCTTTTTGGAGTCGGTTAACAATTAAACAGTCGACGATAGACCCACAAAGTTTGTATAAGTTATTGTTAAGGAAGGATATACCTTAGTCCCAAGTATATTGTTCTTTGAATTTTGTAACTCCTGTACACGCCAAACTATCAAATTTTTTTCATATACTTCACCCTGGGCGATGGGATATATTCGTGAATTTGTAGTTTTAATATGAATCGACGGTTTTTTATTTTACATTAACGATAACACATTTGTCGGACAAAAATAACATTGCTTCGGGGTAGTCCGACATCCCTAACACGTAGCTGTGACATCCCTAAGGAAGTTGATACACTTACGTGTAGTTTTAATGCTAATCGGCGCTTTTTTATATTTTATTGAAAATAAATATTACATTTGTAGGACAAAAAACACGTGGCTTCGGGTAAAGGGCGGGTAAAGGGGGTCCGACGCCCTCAACATGTCGCTGTGGCGCCTCTAAGAAAGTTGATACACGTACATGTAGTTTTAATGTGAATCGAAGGTTTTTTATATAACATTAACGAAGTCACATTTGTCGGACAAAAATCACGTGGCTTTAAGGGGGTTCTGAGGGGTCCGATACCCCCAACTTGTCGCTGGGGCGTCCATAAATAGAATATAGAAGAATATTATGGATACGATACATTTTTATCAATTTCCGTCCCTACGGATGTGTAAAAAATAATTGTCTATAAAAAATGAGAATTTTCCAAAAATTTATAATTTTAATATTGTAACTTTGTCTTTTTTGGTGAATCTGATTTTAAAGAATTCAAAAACTTTCTGACTTTATTCAATTTTTTCATTTGGAATTTCCCGCGTAAAAAAAAAGGAAGGTTTTGGGTACTCTAATACCAGAGCTGTGATAAGTATGTAGCAAATGTACTTCAAGTAACCAGTATTAAGTAATTTAATTTCCAAATCTACTTACAATATTAAGTATAAGTATTTTACGAAAGTACTTGAAATATTAAGTAGTTTACTTAAAACAAATAATTCAAGTATAAGTAGTAAGTACATACCTTAAAAATACTTAAAGTAAATTCAATATACTGAAGTAATTTTAAGTACTGAAAATATGTTAAAAATACTTAAAGTACTTTTAAAGATTCAGTATTTTGAAATACTAATTACTTAAGTCATGTTTTAAGTATATATTAAATTAAAGATCCCCTCTTGAGTTATCAACTTAAAACGCAAGCTTTGTATAAATTAATAAAGTACACTACTGTTTCGTTTAAGACATGCCCAATAAAAATGGCCATTCAATATGTTTGTATGTGTATAATATACAATATACAATGTATACTTGGTTTATTAAAATAATTGAAATCTTGAGTTTTACTCGGCGTTTTTGTTACATTGTTACTTGTTATCATTGTTTGTTGCTCATATACGAGTAAATGAAAAACTCATCTATTCATATTTCAATATCTTTTTTATTCGTCTGAATGGGTAACATAAAGAAGTCAAAGTCATAAAAGTAACAAATAACATGAGAATATGAGTATGAAAATAACAACACAAGTACATAGGTATTGTTTTTCAAGAATAACATTATTTTAAAGTAGGTACCTAATCAAAATACATATTATTAGGATTAGGATATCGGATACTTTGAAGAAACTACAAAATAAATAACTAATACATTTCCTAAAATACGTGTTTGTTACTTTTGAGCAGTACCAACTTTTAAAAGTTGGTTTCACTTAACGCATGACGTTTAGGAGCATTAATTATTTCAGCGAAAGAAAATAATCGGTCCACGGAGGCAGATGACGGTAAAATACAGTTACACTTTATAAATAACTGTTTAACAATATTGTATTCGTTTAGCATTGACAACGTGGTCATTTTATCATTCATGTATTTGAGGAATTCAAAATTAAACTGGTTCTAAAAAGTATCAGTAAAATGGAGCCTTATAGCAGTATCCGAAGAAACGTTAACCTCGGATTATCCTTAAAATAAAAAAAAACGTCTTCAAGGTCTTCTTGGGCTGTCAAGTCGGGTTCAACTGATACTTTAAAGGCCAAAACAATACTCGATATCCAAGATTGAATATCTTTTGAGGTTACTTGAACATTATTATCTTTGAAGGCACTCAACCATCTCATTTTAAATCTGGGATTGGTTACTGCTGCTATAACGGCTATCTTAGACTGCAAGGTAAAATCACGATAAAATCGTTCACGAATAGAGTTCAAAATTTAATCCAAGGACTTAGATAGTTGTGTGATTGTACCAGACAATTTAATTTTCTTAAGTTTTGTATACAGTGATATAATAATGGGAAGAAAGTATCCATAATATGTATTTTATTCACCTTGCAGAAAGTCAAGAGTCTCTGCAAGAGGTTTCATAATTGTTGTATATTCTGTCAAAAATAATATTTTACTTTCAGTAAAATTGGGCACAAAAGTGCATCGTAAAGTACTGGCATCTTTTCCTTTAAAGACAATTTTTTACAGCATCATAACTGTACACTAGAGTGATTTTTTTTCAAATAATTTTTTTCGCTCCCGTTATAAAATTTTGTTAAAAATGCCCCAAAAAAAATTCCTTGAAAGTTTGAGCACTTAATATTAATATTAAGGCGTGCAAAGATTTTTCATTTAAAATACACGTAAAATTAGGGATTGTTTCTTCAGATTTCTATTGCTTAGCGGCACTTCATGGTATTATTTCGATCATAGACATGTAGTTCTCCAAATTGAATGCTCTACAAAAGTGTCCATTGCAGCGATGTCGTAACTCACATCGGCGAGGTAGTACGGGTCACTAAATCGAATTTTTTCATGAAATTCACGTTATTTCGACCCTATGTCATAATTGAGAAGAGTTACAGGAAAAATGTAAATAACAAAGTTGTAGCATATTTAATTTACTACAAAAAATGTCCTAAGAACCAAATCGCTAAGATCAATATTTGTAGAGATTTCTCCGGCATTTGTGGTACTTACTTGAACAACTTGCGTGTAAAATAGAAAAAAAAAATAAATATCGTACAGAAAATAAATTCCCAGGTAGCTGTCCCGAAGTCGAGTAAACTATTTTTAGTCGCTTATGAAGAAATAACGTCATTATCTGAAAAAAACAAGTGATTTTATTAATCCAAACTCATTATTTATTTTCGAACAATTTGATCTCCTTCATGATTTTCTGTGTACAGATCCAAGTTCGTGGAAATTTCGACTATAAACAATGTTATGATACATTTAAATGTTAAAAATGGTTTACGATACTGCAGAAAGGGGAGTAACATTAGCCGAAAGTTTTAATGAAGCATTGACTCATAACGAAGTTGAGAGACAAAAAAATTTTCAAACTGTTCAGCATCATCAAAAATAAATAATTAGTTTGGATTAATAAAATCTTATTACAAGTAGTATTATTAGTACCAGGTATCTATAAACTACAAGTCCGGCATCGGCACACGTTAGACGTCGTGTGTTGTAAAGATTTGATTTGTTTGAGCGTGTTTACTGTCACTTTACTGTACTGTTTACTGTCCGGATAATTTGAAATGCGAGTCCTAACTTGTTTGGCGTTGCAGTATTTTTAATAAAATACTTAAAGTAAATATGTAGGTTAAAATAGTTTCAAAAGTACTTTAAATTATTTTCCATTTAAGTACTTTCTGTTAAAAATTTTCAGAAAAAACTTTAAGTAGATTCTGATTTTCCAGTACATTTTTCAACTAACAAGTAAACACTTTCCACAAAAGCTTTAATTTAAGTACAAGTACTTTTTTTCAAATGTAATAAGTACATTTTCAAAAGTATCGTTAGTTCATAAATACTTTAAGTAAAATACTTCAAGTAAAAAAAATACTGAATATTTATTTCAAGTACGTTTTTGTACTGAGTACCTCAGCTCTGTCTGATACGCACCATAAAGTATTTTAAAAGTTTTGGAGCAGCAACAGAAAATAGTAGTTTGTGCAACAAGAGTGGATATGATGCCCGTATCGCACAAAGACGAAATTTGAGAATGACATCGTCTCAATGCGATATTTACAATCCACTCGAGTTGTACACTAAAGTACATCTACAAATATTAAAAATTATTTTAGGTTATCATGATAAAATAACTAATTTAAAAATAAAAGGAAATATATATTCCTATTAAAAATAATTTATGACTACTAATTTATAAAATAAAATAGAAACGAAGAACAAAGAAGAATAGATTTATTTTAATTTTTTTCTATCCTAGATTTGAAATCGGGCCTTTCGGATGAAGGGCAAGTTCTCTGACATCGCCACAGACGCCTAAAACGTTCGCTTTAATACTCTTAATTAAATTGACTTATTATTTATAATTGTAGACTAAATAAAAATAGAAATGCTATTATTTATCGATTCTGTACAAGAATAACTAATTTTGATGTATATTTATTCTCAATAATTAAAAACCTTTTAAGAATCGTTATGTTATTGTCACGCTTAACGGTTAGGCGGTGGTGATGATTTTTTTTTGTGTGAATAGGGGTCGTCGCTTGGCTTCGAGAGGTAAAAATAAATAATCACCCACTTCCGCTAAGCGCGCTCTAGCCAATGTTAATCTCAAAAAGCTCAGATTAACTTCTTGGTTTAGAAGGAATCTGCGCCACTTAAGATGAATCTCGGGTGACTTAAATTATCATATAGTGAACTAAACTAGTAATAATAGAAACACCATGTATAAAAAATTCACAAACACTTTATTAAATGTCCGTAATTAAAGGACTCAATAGATATAATAAAAAATCGATATAATAATAATAATAATAATAATAATAATAATAAAATTTGGGGTCCTTACCTCATTTTCAGATTGCAGTCACAATTTTTATTTTACTTTATATATAATTATATTTTTATGTTTTATATTTTATAAACCCCAATTATTTTTTCTGTAATCGATCGCGACCACCTTTTTTGCTATCCCGCAAAACTCTCTATAACCCACTAAAAAAACCGACTAGGTTCGATTTCGCCAGAGTTCCAAAATCCTCGAGTCAGCACAAAGTTCATTAGTTTTTAACTTAATTGTTTTGAAACTATGAAATGCATTCTATAAGATTTAAAAGTATTTCGAAATCGACCTACTATTCAGAAATAATTTAACATACAGGATGTTAAATTATTTACTGAGCCGAATAAAAATAATTTAATTCCATTTAAGGAATAATTGTGATAAAATGTGGTTTTATCTACAGATTATTTATATATCTAAAGAAGACTAATAGGTACAATCATTTTAGAGTTACCTCTTACAAAATCATATATCATAAATATCTCACTAATGGCAACTAGGAACTAGATAAACCTTAATAAGAAACTTATATTTTGCATAAATGTAGGTGAAATCTACCTAAATTCTCTGATGAAAAACATTTTTTTGGACTAACATTTCATTTTAATTTGTTAAAATTAGTGCGTCTTTTATCATTTTTTAAAATATTGGTTTCATAATTTATTTTAAAAATTACAAAAAAAAAATAAACTTCAAAACATATCAAAATAATTTTTATTTTAAATAAAAACATTTTAATGTAATTATAATACAGAATGAGATTTAAATTTTATTTTTTTCCAATATGGCAAAAAGTTTGTGTTCCTTCTCACTAAATAAAATGGTTGAATTTTCTTACGAACAAAAAGTTATAATTAATACACAAACACCACGTTAAAATTATTTACCTTATTATTTTATAACTTAGGTATGTTTTCGTTGCTTTTATGTGCACAACATATGGTTATTATATCTTAATTATGTAAGTTTAATTTGCATCATGTTATTTATTACCACTACGTTATAACTTATTTTCTCAGTGCATTATGAGTTATATCAAAACTAGTTTACCACTGAGTTATAACTGTCAAATAAAAACATTTTTATAGCTTATGTAGCTGTGTTGTGTTTACTGTTACTGCTTACTAACATCATTATTAAAATTTGCAATCGTTTAGGAGTATTTTAATCATTTCTAATATTGGTTTGCAAGGATTAATAAAGAAAAGATCAAATGAAACAGTACTTATTGTAGGTTTCTGTTCCCATAAAAATTATCTTTATTTGCAATAAGATTCTTGCATCTTTTGGTAGTTGTTTAATTATATTGGTGCATTTAATTATGCTGACAAATTTATTTGCAATGTTATGTGGTAAGTACTTTCTTTATTTGTTACTGCCCATACTTTTATTATTGGTTCTGTAACGGCCTACTCCCAGTATGTTTTATGGTGGTTTCAGGTCGGTTTTCCAGACACTTGTACGAAATTTGAATCTTTTACAAACGTGATTATAGATATTATTTATTAGGTGTCGTAAATAAGATTTAATTATCTGGGAGATTTTTCGTTAAATGAAGGATTTTGAATTTAATGAGAATGCACTATTATATTTAATAAATGGAATTAATAAATTATTAAGGTACCTGGGTGCGGTAGGTTATAGTCTTTATTTTGATGTCAATTTCTATGTTACAATATTTTCTTGCTCTTTATTAGTTATTTCTTTTTATATAATATCTTAGAATTTATTGTAAGAAGCACAATTCCCAATATTACTGTTGAAAACCAGGGACGGTTTATTGTATAGGTAGGTACTGCGGATTTGTGTTTAAATGTTCTCAATATTTTTTTTTCTTGAAGTTCTTCATTGCGTCCAGTTTAAATAGATTTTTTACATCTATAAGAGTTATCTCTTTTTCGGATACATGATAATTCTCTTATAAAATTTATAAAGCAGTTATTCATAACTCTTAACCTCGGAATGATATTAAATTCTAGGGACACAATAATATATGCATTTAACTATTGTACAACTTTTATAATAGCGGTGTATTATATAATTTAAAACAAAAAAACTACTTTAACAGTTTTTTTAGCCATAAAATAATTTTATTCATAAACCTAATAGTAATTATAGTAGTTTATATCGGTATTAAAACGGTATTATTAAGTGCATATTATATTATAAGTAGTTGTTATTCAAACGTTATAGAATCGTTATTGCGACCACATATATTATACATTTTAAAACAACTTAATTTTAGTTATGTGTTTCTTATAAATGAACATTGTTAAAACTCTAGTTAAATCTTACTCAACAAAGTGCAACAAAAACGTTGTTCTAACCTTTCAAAAAGTTGTATATTAGTTATAAAAATTTAAGTTATATAACGTGTCATTTACGTGTGTTTTGTAACGTTTTAATTATATATACCGACATTTTATAACTTTGTGTATTACTTGGGCCTTCTGTCTCTTTCAGAACAGAAAATCTTGAGAATATAATTCCGAATAGTAAACATTTTTAAGAATTTGTGTTGACCATTAATATTTGATTTTAAATTTTTAAATTGAACTGAGATAATTAAAAGATTTGCCTTTATTTTAAAATAAAAACATATTATACTATAGTAGGGCTTTGGAAACTTAGGTAATAACACCAAAAATATGTTATATATCTATAATTTTTGTGGCTTGGTTCTCTTTTGCATAATAAATTGTTTGACGAATTTACAAGAATAAAAAAGAAACAACACAATAAAACTATTTTGTAATATGTTAAGTAACAATACATATTAGGTATTATCAATACTTAGTTATCTTGCAACTCAAAATCTAAATCTGCATCAAAACCATCAAGGTAATCTTCAATAATATCACCAATTTTTAAATTTTCATAAAAACTTTGCGAATCGCTAGGAATAAGGTGCATGATAGACTTTATATCTTCAAGTTTTTTTGGCGAGATCGGTTTTTCGTTTGGCCATAATGGTGTCAGTGCCTGTGAAAATAAGTTGGCCTCATTCTGAGGTCTACCCTTACGTTTTTTTGATATATGTCTATTTCAGAATATTCTTGCAGTTCGTCAATTTTATGGTTTGGCGACACAAATAAGGAAAAAGGCTTGTCTTTGAATATCTTGATTTCTCAAAACTGTAGCCAATTAATTTTTTCTCCGGAAATATTAACCTTTCTATTTGTTATAATTTTTTCTGCATCTTTTGTATCAAGAAAATCTATGTTCTCCATTTTAGTAACATTCGATGGATTTTTTCTACAAGCTTTCATAATATTTATATAATCATCTTCAGTATAGATTCTCTGTTTATATTTTATAGCCTTTTCTATATCAAAAAAGTCACTATCATTTTTTAAAAAACTGTGCTGACACTAAAAATCTCAAAGAGACCGTCTCCAGTGATGGATGGTTTTCAAGAGCAGCTTTTAATAATAAAATTATTTATATGTTCCTGTTTTGCCCACTACAGGAGTCTGACCAGAGTATTAGGGTTTTCACAGTTTCAGGAACATGCAATTCAATATGCTTTAGCAAACAAGAGCCCACTTCTTGAGCTCCACGTCCAGCACTTCCTTTTACCCACATGTAGCAAAAATCTGTATTATGTTTGCAAAAGTGGATTCCTGTATTGTATAACCAAATTTGCCTTTTATAAAATATGACATTAGTTGGAATTCTCGGCAATGGGAGAGTTTTCTCCATGTCAAAAGTAAGTACTTCTAGAATTTATCTCTCCTAACTCTTTGGATGTCATTGTTCATTTTGTTTCTGGCTTCTTCCTGATAATTTAAATGAGTGAATTTTTCTTTGTCTTCATTATTTTTTGCTGATTATATAGCAGTATCCATTTTGTCATACAAATTGCAAGTATATTTCTTTAAAGGCTTACGCCTCAAATTAAAATTGGAATAAAAAATTCAAATTCTTTTATATTTTTCATAACTTACAGGATTAGGAACTTCTTTAGAATATAGTCGATGCATTTTTTCTATAGTCATATGACTTTCTAAATACTCAACATCATGTGCTTCTTCATGTCTGTAGTGTGATTTATATTTCTGTATTTTTTAATGTGATTAATAGCCTCATTGAATCGCTTATTAGATATTTTATTGCAACCACCTCGATTTCCTCTTTTATCTACAAAACTATCGGATTTGATTTTTAAAAGAGCGGTATGAACACGTTTTGTAGATAGTTTTGGTGTTTTAATAAATAAATCTCTACAAACAGTGGTACCATTTATTTTATAAACTCGGGTAAATTTTCTTTTTGGGTTTTTTCTGTTGGGTATATTGACGTTTTGTAGGCTGTTCGGTTAGTGATGTACCCAAGTTGGCGGTTTGAGCATCATACGAACCTAGTTCCCAATATTTTTTAAAAAAGTTTGCCGTTCTTCTGCAGAAACCTTTTCATGACATTGATCTCTACATTGGTAGTTTTCAAATTTCTTCGGATTAATGTGAACTCCTTTATAATTAAAATATGATTTGTTGCTGTTATTATTTTTATTCTTTATCACACGTGTCTGATTTTCATATTTTCTTTTCCTTCCTCTGTTTAGTCTTCCTGTAATAGAAACCTCGCCCAGCATTGCAGTAGCTACTTCTCCTGGAATAGGTACTGGGAGGCTCATAATGGGCATCAGCTACACTATTATAAAAAAATCCTGTAGCTTCATCTTTAAAAGAATTTTCTGGTTCAATCTTATTCTAAAATTTTTATAAAAGTGAGGTTAGAATTTGACATTACATTATTATTTTTCCCAATGTTCTACCTTCTGTGCCAATTCCACTAAGTATTTGCCTCTTGATACAGTAGACATATTAAATTTTATAAGATTGTTTTAATTTGAGCATACACTATCCTCGACAACAAACACGAAACACACAAAACAAACACCAAATGAAATACAAGGTGAAAAATATAATTTGCAAAAAAGAACCAAGTATGTTGGGTTCTTTATGTAGATTTCTTTCTACTGCTTTTATAAATCGTTTAAAGGAATTTTTGTAGAGATGACGCTGCCAGTCAGTTTAAAGGTTTGATACTATTTTGCGTATTGGAGTTAACAATTTTTATATCACATGGTGATGTTAATGCAATAATTACTAAATGTGGCTTGGTTCTTTTATGCATAACTACATCCAATTCACCTTAGCTTCATTTATTTCGCATATAGTTAATTTGACGTTTTACAATATGAAATAAGTAAACACTCTAATTACTTCCGCTTCCAATTGAGAAACTCTTTAATATGATTACAGCCTTCCCCAAGCGTATAATAAATCACAATTTGCCCGTGGATTCCGTATAGCATACAAAATAACGAAACGAGCCATGTGATGTATGCCCAAAAGGTATCTTAAAAACAGTTTTTCAAACTGAACCGGATTCCGGAATGAATACGCAAAACGTCGACTTCAAACGAAAATGTTCTCGCCTCATTAGTTACTTTTTGAATAAAACATATGTATGAAGATCTCGGATGCCGGATGCCGGGTATGTTTGTTAGATATGTTTGCGAAAGAATCGGCAAAAATGACAGAAGGGATTTTACACGTTTAGTTTGCTATCGTTTTGTAAAAACAAGGTGGAGAGAGAGAAAGAGAGGATGCGAGTTTGTTTGTTGGAATGATTGCGTTTATTCAATTCTAGGTTCTCAGCGTCTTTTTTTATTCCAAAGCAGAGGCGCGTTAATAAAATTATTTACGATATACCTGGTTATACGAAAGAATTATTATGTAACCAATAATTTCTATAGTAAGTAATGTGTCAATTCCAAGAATTTGAATGATTTAATGAAGAGTTGATTAGATTTGAAAAGGAGTTGGACATTATTTGTCCACCGCTACCTTCTTAGATCTATTGTGGGACATCCTTATTTAGATTATGTCGTCTAGCTTGGTTTTTTTATTAGACTTAGTAGCTTATGTAATTCCATGCATTTGGATTTTCTTCGCAACATGTTGGAAACTTCAATCCACGCAGTTCTTCACACTGACACAGGAGGAGGATTGATTGATTGATTTTTCACGGAACCTGCACAGTATTCCCAGGCAGCATAATTTAGTATAAATTACATATTTTTTAGCTATTACCGTACGTATAAATATTGTAACGTTCAATTAAATCTATAAGTTGAAATTAATGAAAATTCACTCAAAATCATGTATATTAAACTACAAAGTAACAAGAATTTATAAATAATATGCATCATGTTTAGTTAAATGAATTTGTTTGACCACGAGAAAAGACGAAATAAGTCTCTCATAATGAGAATAATTAAGAATAAAATAATAACACATAAAAAAATTTACTAATAATGTAATACAATTTTTTCTACACCCGTATTATAATAATGCACTTATATGCCCATAATCCGTTTCATAATGATACCCATTATGATACAGATTTTTCATTACGATACAGATTTTTAATCAATAGAAACCTACAATTTTTCAATCAAGCATGCTGTTTGACGTTTGTCCTAGGTTCCTATGTAATTATTTTAGTTGTCAAAACGTATTAAATTTTCGTAGGTAGCTAAACTTCGATAATTATAATATTAAAATGTCTGATATTAGCGATATAGAAGACTCCTCCACACATATCGGAGAAAGCAGAAAATACAGTACAAAATATTTTACCGCAAAAATCTAGGGAAATACCAATACCTGAAGTAATACCATTAATTACAATTTTGTAGAATTTTTTATAGAAATACGAGTAATTACTGTTATTGTGTTCAATACCAATATAAATATAATATTTATAGGTCTTGATTATTTATCGGGTGTAGAAAAAATAGCGTATGCAACTCTCATGTAATGGTTATTAAAACACTCGCATAAACCATACGAAACTCGCCTTTGGCTCGTTTCGTATCCCGGTTAATGCTCGTGTATTAATAACCATCATTACATGATCGTTGCATAATATACTATTTTTTAACAGGTTTGTAAGATACATATAAAACAATAATTTGCAACCTTGTAAATAAATCCTTGAGAATATTGTATACGAATAAAATTGATTTCACTGGTATCAGACGAGCCGTTAAAAAACCACAGGAAAAAGTTTTCTTCAAAAAAAGACAAGGAATCTACAAAACTAATAAAATCAACTTAATAAGAGAAAATTACGAAACTTTTTTTTATTGGTACCCTATTTTACTTATTTAAAGTACGCCTTAACGTGTTTAAAACGAACTTTAAAAAACGCGCGTGTTTTAAAGTTACCATGGCAACATCAACAACCCGAGAAACGTGATGTCTAAATGCCAACTTTTTAAATATTGATCTGACAGGAGTGCCTTGTAATGTCAAATAAAATATTTCTGAGAAAATTCCACACCTGTAATTTTAAACCAATCAAAATACGTGTTTTTGACAGATCACCATGGCAACGGAGGTATTTTAGTGGACATTTTTTTCTCGTGGGGTACCCAACAGCGAATTATACTGGAAATTTTTTGACGTTTACAATAACAGACCATTTTTGACAGACTGGTTTTTATTTGTTCACATAATAGGTTTAGTTTTGATACATTTTAGTTACAATGCTAAGGTGTTTTCTATATTCTTCGGCCACTTCTTTTCTTCTTAATGGCGAAAATGCAGGACTTTGGATGCTTTGAATTATGTGTCTATCAGCCGGTTGCAAGAACGATTGTTAAAATCTCTCGTTAGCTAAAGAACAAATAACTAACAGAGATTAAAACTGGCAACGGCGCTTTTCCAACTGACAGTATGTCGCTTCACAGCTGATCACGGGAGATTTTTAAATTAATGAAGTTAATTTGGTAATATTTTTCGAAAATTAATTACAAATAAAGTAAAAAATGATATTGAGGCTTAACCTTTACTGCTATGGTTAAATGTTAACACTATCCCTATCTTTTTTTGACATCGGCTCATATTTTTTAACCCTTTAACGCGCAAAACTATTTTTTGCCAGGTTTTCAAAAAATAACGATATGTGTGGGTTATATAAGTAAAACTAAGTATATTACTGTGTCTTAAAAAAATTACAAGTTTGAACTTTGAGTTGTAGAAGGTGGTCAATTTTTCGACCAGCGTACGTTCAGGATGGCACACTTTGGGCTCGAATCGTGGTACTCAAAATATCGACTAGTTCAGTTTTTCAAAATAAAAAAAAAATAATGAATATAAACATTTATTTTTAAAATAAAAAAACAGTAAATCAGTACTTCAATACACAACCAAATAAACAAATAATAACTAACTGTATGCGTACAGAGGCAGATATTCGACCACTTGTTAGGGACGAAGCTGGGGCGTGCACTAAATAGCGCGCCAAATTTTATTACGGGTTGATATTTCGCCTGAAAACGTTACCGGTAAGTGTCTAGCAGAGATCTGGTCTAAATTCAGCCTGCGAGCTAAATCGTACAAGCAGAAAAATTAAGTGGTTTAAATACCAACCACTGCCCGCTAAAAATAGACAGAAGCAAGGACAGTCGGTTCAGAGAAAAAATGTTTTACACATGAATATAATTTCTTAAAATAAATAGAATGGCTTAAATGAAGAAAAGGTTCCAATAAGTCACTGGAAAAAGAGGAAAATACTCATTTAACTGTCCTTCTAGTAGTGCTCGATTAAAAATCTGTGATTTGTGTAGTAATTAGTTTAAAGCAACAGTATTTAAATATAGTTTGTCCCTTTTATATAAACTAAAACTATTTTTCTCGTACTTACTTTACATTTTCTCTTTCCGTTTGTCACACCATGGAAGAGCACATTTCTTTCTACTGTACATATTTTTTTCAAATAGAAGTACATAATTAAAAAAAGGTTTAGTTTTTATCATATGTGCAAACCCCATTTACAATGAATTTAGTTAGAAATTGAAAACTGGAGGAGAGATGGTAAAATCTCTGGTATGAGAAATAAATTCATATTTGACCTATTCTTGAAAATCATATACAGTTCCTTTTTGAATCCCTTCAATTTGGATGCTATTTCTTTGCTAATA